CCCCGGCCCTGCCCGCGCTGCTCCAAGCCGGGGCCCTGCGCAACCGGAGCCGCCTGGAGCTGGCCGACAACGGGCTGCTGCTGCTGCCCGCCGGCGTGTTCTCCTCCCTGCCCGGCCTGCGGCACTTGGACCTCAGCAACAACTCCCTGGTGGGCCTGCGAAACGTGTCCTTCCAGGGCCTGGGCCGGCTGCAGAGCCTCAACCTCAGCGACAACTCGCTCAGCGTCCTGAGGAACGGCACCCTGGCCCAGTTTCGCAGCCTGCCCGCCCTCCGGAGGATCGGCCTCGGCCGCAACACCTGGGTCTGCGACTGCGCCATCGAGGACTTGGTGAACTGGCTCAAGGAGAGCGACCAGGTGGAGGGCAAAGAAGCCCTGAAGTGCTCCTACCCCGAGAAGATGCTGGGCAAAGCCTTGCTGAAGATCAACAGTTCGGACCTGAACTGCTCCGTGCCCGTAGACCTCCCCTCCCAGCTACAGACTTCGTACGTCTTCTTAGGGATAGTCTTGGCTCTCATCGGGGCCATTTTTCTCCTGGTTTTGTATTTGAACCGCAAAGGAATCAAAAAGTGGATGCACAACATCAGAGATGCGTGCCGGGATCACATGGAGGGGTATCACTACAGATACGAGATCAACGCAGACCCCAGGTTAACAAACCTCAGCTCCAATTCAGACGTCTGACAAAAGGCCGTGGAAGCAGGGCAACGCGCAACAGCTATGCATGAAAAGTAGACTTAAGCTTTACCCTCATGCTTGACTCCCTCTCCCCAGAGAAATCACAGACGTGCTTGTAACAGGAGGGGAATATGCCTCCATGTGGTGTAAAGTTCTTTACTGTTTTCTTTTATGTTGAGACACTGTGCAGCTGCACGTGGTGTTGGGCTGTATATAAGAAATAAGCTGCTACTTCTCTTCCTCTTTACCTGTTTTCATTGGAACTTGCTGCCAGCACTTGCTGGAAAAGTTTTCGAGGTCTCAAAAGACGAAAGGATTCATTCTCTCTCTCTATCTCTCTCTCTCTCTCTCTCTCCCTCTCTCTCTCTCTCTGATGCTCCAAAGCCACCAGAGTTTATAAAGATATACCGAAACAGATACCGTTCAACAAAAGCTGCCTCAACTTTTTTGGGAAAAAACATTATGTTCATCAGTACCAGTTTTGGTCTTGTATATCCTCATAGCAAAGACAATGATTCTATTTTGTGGACTATCTTCAGATAAAAAACAAAAAAAAAATTAACAACTCCTCTGTTAGAAGGAAATGAAATAGTGAGCATGCACAAACACATTATAGTTTTACATGTTAGGAAGCTTACAACCTCAGTAAGTCTCTTATTGTTTTCTAAAGTTATTTTTGATTGCAGTTTACGTGAAAAGAGAATGTTTTTAACTCTGGACTGTTAAATTCAATAAACAGTCTTACAAGAACTGTTGCATTGAACTTTGCTGCTTAATGAAATATGTATGAATATCTGGTGTGAATAGCTCTGCAGTCTCTAATTACAGTAGTAATTTGAATTAAAAAAAATTTACAAGTATATAGCTTAGAGACATGAATGTTTATGACAGTTTTGTGAAATACACTGTAAGAATTACATTGATCGACAGTGAGGGCACAGCTTCACTTAGCACAAAACGCCCTAGTCAGCTCTCTCAAAACTTCAAGAGAAATGCTAGTCAGCCTTATTGGAAAAAATTATAAGCTAATTGAATTTACTGGTCTCCTCTACCAAACTTTTAAAAATACAAATTTGATTGTTGAGTTTGTAATATAGAAAATTGTATCTAAATAGAATTATTTATTGAAAAATACATACTTTCGGGGCTTGGATTAAATTAAATGCAGCTCAGTCGTGTAGTTGGAGAGCTTCAGACTTGTAAAGGGAGATAGAATTTGGCTTATTAAATTAAGTACTTACTGTTTCATATAAAGCTCTCAGTGCTTGTATACTTTTGTAGTAATGTACATTGAGTAATGATGTAATTTTACATTTATCTTAAAACTACTAGCAGGTTTGTTTAAGTATTATATATGCACTCATGCTTACTATTTCTTTGGGAATGCATTTTTGTTTAAGTGTATGAAGCATGTAAAGAAAAATTTCAAAGATGCACCATTTAGTATGTAATTCTGATGACGTATCGAAAGGTTAGCAAGGACCTTCCAATGGCCACCAATAATTAATGCATTTTTCTCTAATACTTTTATAGATTCTTAAAGAAAAAATACACGCCAATTTATATTACACTTCTGCGTTTACTGTATCAGTTTATCATTTCCGTGATCACTGTTACTTGAAGATCCTAAGCACTTTATGATTTTGTGAATTATCAGCTAATTCCCTTCACTTCTGAAAGTGACAGTTTTCTCATAGGTCTATTCCTTTGGCAAGAGCTTATAAGTATGAAATAGTCCTTTACGTATCAGAAGAAATAATTTAAATTATTATTATTTTGGACATCAAGATTTTTCAGATGCATTTTTCTCTCCTTATAACTTCAGACATTGTCAAAATAAGCAGCACATGTTGGTTCAAACTAGTTTTATATTGCTTTAAATTGACTTTATTTAATAGCAGTGCTTATTTTTAATGTATTTTTGTACATCCACTCTCCAAAGTTTAAAAAAGTACGGTCAATATTTTGATAAATCCGTATATTTTACAATTAATGTAAGCTATGTGATAGCTTATTTCTCCTGCTGTAATTTAAATGTGTGAGCAATATCCGGATAACAGCATATGAATTTAAGTTTGTGGATTCTTAAGAAAACAAATTCCTGGCCTGAATGTTAGCTGCACATATTTTAAGAATATGCTTGCTAAGTATAAGCTCCGATGTGAATAACTGTAAATGTGCAACTATGCCAACCGTTCATATTCAGTATACATGAAATAGTTTCTGTACCAAGATAGAATTTGCAGTAGCTATATAGTGTGCTGTGTTGTTTTGATCATTTTGTAGAATGATCAACTCATGCTTATTTATAAAGTGCCAAGAAAAGTAGAGCCTCATCCTTGCTAAAGATGCTCCTGTAATTCAGTTCGTAAAATATGTACAAGCTAAGCCATTTCTTGGACAATTTCTTGATTTGGGTTAATAGATCCTTTTAAGTAAATACAGCAAGACCTATCATCCATAATGTATTACGCAACGGACATGCATTTACAGAACTGTGTAAGGACAGGCAACGATGTTAATCATAGTCTATCACCAATGAACTCAGTATATTAGTATTTGTGTAGTGAGCAAGTGTAACTATTGTACTACACCCGTTATTCTAAAGATTATCTTTTTTTTGTATAATAAAAAGTCATTGTAATAGAATTTTATTAGAGACCTGGTGACCGCTACTTTAAAATAATTTCTGCTTACATGTGTATTTATTAGGGTGTGACAATTAGCATGTGTCAGTATTGTGTCAGCTAATGTTCACCTACAGTGTTTGACCAGCAGTGAATGCTTTGGTGTTTTGTGCAATGCATTTGATCTTCAATCCCCTTCTATAAAGAATGCTTGGAATTTGTCTTCCTTTCCTGCTATGAAATAGTTACCGTGATACACAGAAGACATTCAAAAAGTAGCTCTGAAAGTGCTTCAGAATTTGGTTTAAAAAAAAAAAGAAAAGTATACATTTTAAGATATCTTAGTGTAAGATTTCTTCTGAAGCGTACTTTATAACCTTATTCTGCTTTGACACCTAAAATTTCACTTGATTACTATTTCCAGAGCAGCTTAATTAGCAAGGCTGTTTTATCCATTCAATCTTCAATAAAACGCATGCAGTACTAAATGCCTCTAAAATGTGTTTTGTATACATAAAACCCAAACCTTGTCTGCATGACAAGGTTGTCACTGATGTTTTGTGGAAAACATCTGGATTAAAGTAGTGGGCAAATCTTCAGGGAAGGCTAAGCCGCTAAGGAGCAAAAAGGGTGGATCACCCAAGGGTCAAATGCTCTCTCACAATCAGTTTGAGTTGCAATAAGCCTGAAACTTTCTAAGAAGAATAGCATAAGGAATTGAAATAATTTTAGTATATTTTTCTTAAGCGTGTTGGATAAACGATCGTTGCCAGTTAAGAAACACAAAATTGTCCAAATCTTTCTTTGCCTGAGGTAGCTGTATATTAGATTGCCAAACATTTTCTATGCCTAGCTAGCCATAACATTACCAATAACTTTGAAATCCAAAAAGTAATTAGAAGTTTTCACAGCTACTTTAAATCTTTTCATTCAGAGTAATTTGCCTTCTAAGCACTAGAGGCAATCCCCAGTGACAGGGTGGCTAGTGAAGCTCTCTGTTCAGACCAGTATTTGCTTGTTGACTGAGATGTCACTGAAGAGAGGCACGGCAAAATATTCAACGTATGACTGCGCTAAGATGCCAAGCTCTCATTTTTCTACCAGCATGTTCCCCGTGGTATACTCTGCTCTTTGTAGAGCAACATAATTTTTTTGTTCACCTCATTTTCCCGAGAAATCCGTAAAAAGAGTGTCATGAGGCTGCACAGGTAGAGAAACCAGTCTGATTGCACTTATGTTTTGAGATTTGACATCCTCGTTTCCCTTTAAGTCTTAGCAGGAAAAAGAGCCTTTGTCAAAGTGGACAGAATGGAAATTTGATACGAGCTCTCTCTTTTTCTTTAGCAGCTTAATGTTCACCAAGAACCATTTACTCTGAGCATATGATGAAGGAAAATAGCATTTGTTAAGAAGAAAAAAAATTCAGTTTCAAGCTTCCAAATGACATTTGTATACTATGAGGGAAAGTTGAACGGAGAAGCTTATAAAGGAAACTGAGAGTATCCCTTTTGTAGTGTGTCAGCACTGAAAATCACAACACTATTGATAGGGACAAATGCTGATTGGTTCTATCTTTTCTGTTACAATCGTGTTCTTTGGATATAGCTCTGATTTCTTCCTGTTGCTATGAACAGAAACATTTTGCTGACAAGTGGAGTTGTGTCCTGGACTATTTGTAATGTAGGTGTTGCCACTGCAGTATTTTTGGTGGGGTACAATAGAAAACTGAATTTGATTCAGCATCTACTGATTCAACAGTGATTAGATCAGGCCCGTTGCGTAGTGCTCAGTTTTTGCAAATATGCTCCTTACCATTTGCAAGGACCTTTGCTTTGAAATCAAACGATGACAGCCCACTGGGGCAAAGTCCGTTCGTTTGAGGAGTGTAGCATCTATTAGATACTTCTCAGATGCTTAAAAATGAGACTTAAACCATATGTGAGCCAACAGTCCTCCGCTGATGCAGAAGTAACTGCATTATGCTAGCTTCTTGAGTCAAGGTAGCAAGCAGAAAAGTTGAGCTTTGTACCAATGCAATAAACCCAACAGCATTCCTTCCCCCGCTTGAAAAACACAAGCATTTACAAGTCAAAATGCAGGTTTCCCCATATAACCATGTCCTTAAAAAGAAAAAGGGCTTTTGCTTCCTCAGCAATGTTTCCATTTACATGTTGTCACACCCTTGAATAACTTTGCTGTGCTGGAAGTCATCTGTCGTGTAGATAAAGCTCAAAAGCAGGCCGTGCAACCCCAAGGTAGCCCTAAATGGAAATAGGGAACTACTAAGCATGTGAAAATGGTATTTTAATCATAGTGTTTGAATTTCAGTTAATATTTTAATACTTGTAATTATTTACATTTTCAAAGCATTCATTAAATAACATTTTCTTTCTGATGGCAGACTAACAAAATAACACAACAGATTTGTGGTTTTTAGTAATTAGCATGTTAGCATGAAAGCTAACATCCAGCATCTGAATAAATTAGCGATGTTGTTTCAATACATAGCGTGATGAAAATGTTAGAAAATAGAAATCTATCTGTCTAGTTGTTCTAGCATGTTTCACCATTCTAGAAATTTTACGTATGCAAGAAACTGCAGTAAATTGCTCAGATTTGGGGTTCAAGTGGTGTGAAGTTTTATTTCATAATTAAGAAAGATTCTTGAGCAAAAACTTAATAAAATGTTTACTAGGTTGTGTATGACTGTTGTATGTTCACACTCTTGATTTAATTATTATAAATCCGTAGATATTGAGGTCTTTGCTAAAAGTGTAGACATTTTCTTTATAACTCAGGTTGATTACTGTGGTGTAAATTTGCATGAGAATAATGAAAAAGCAACTTACGTATAGATTGCATGGTTAATTTCTTTAGAAAGAAGGTTAGCAAGTTAATTTAAGGGATTGTGTTCTAATCATTCTTGTTACGTGAACATAATTTGATAGCTTGTTATTTTTAAAGTTAATATATACAGTATTGATTTTCAAGTTACGTGTTGATTCTGAAATGAACAGTAATGGATTTTCAGGTTTTTAATGATTAGATCATATTGTATATTTTAGAGTCATCAGATACATATTTACCTAGTGAAATACAAAGGCATTGTTATTATTGATGATG